AAGCGGAAAGTGCGAGGCGCCTCTCCTCATCTTATTTACAATAGCCTGTCAGAAGGGCTTTTTTCATCTTGAGCAAAACGAAAAGGAAAACCCCATCAAAAGCACTCACACACAGTGACACACACACGCCTACACTCACTATATAAATATAACACATTTTTTGCATATCTGAAACTACTCGACTAACTTACGACGTGCGAGAGCTTTAGCACGTTTGAGGATGTGTTTCGGATAATAAACCTAAAGTCAAAGTTTCCATGGACTACAAGTCAGGTGCCTCCTGGTATGCCATATAGCTTAAGAGAGTTTTAAATCTTCGAGCATAGATCGCTGATCGATTAGAACTTATCTACAGAGAAGTTGTGAATAGTTGGCGTATAGCGACTTCATTTTATTTTTTAAATTCCCTGCGAGTGGTTTTGTGCATATGTATGCAACAGACAGGAAGAGGCATGGCAGCGCCCATAAAATATAAATATTCATGGTCGGAGCTACGAACAGAGTCGACCTAGCCATGCCCGTCCGTCTGTCTGTTCAACGTCGTAAGCTACATAGTCTGGAGACTGGAAATATTCATTCCTGTATACAAATATGAGCTACTTTTATTTCGATAACTCAACATATTTTCGATAACAATCGATCGTTTAATGTTTTCAGGTTCAGGTTTCAGGGTATCTCCTAGTCGAGCCGTCTCGACTACAGCACACTCTGACTTGTTGTCTCTTCTTCGTTCTTGTGTTTATCACTTCATGCAGCTAAACGTTGTGTGTTGCATAATTTGAAGCGTTGCGAATTAGTTGAGACATCATCAGTTGCAACGCGCTGGCGCCGCCCGCAGGACGTGGCACGTGTAATATCTTTTACATTTTTAATTTGTGTTTGGGGGCGACGGCTGGGTGGCTGGAGATGGGCAAAATGTTAATCATGATGAACCAGTTAGACACACAGCGAGAGAAATGTGCTGGAGCTGGGGCGATGACTGACTACGTGCGTGTGTGTAAGTGTGGCTGTGGGTGGGCGTGGGCGTGGCACGTGCTCTGCATCATCGTCTCTCATGTAAAATGCATGAAAAACAAACACGCGCGTCTTTTTTGCCCTACGCATAACAGTTCTTCCCCTTTTGTATATATATGTTTTTTTTTTTTATATTTGGTTTTCATTTTTATATGAGCCTAAGACCAGCCCCAGATCCCCCGAACGCCACTCTTTCTTTCTATATGCGATATGTCTGCCTTATACTGACAAATGTCTACTCAGCAATGGGCAGGGGCGATGGGAGATGATGGGGCGTTGGGAGCTGATGGGGCGCTGCTGCGGCTGGTTTGTTGCACTGCGCAAATTTGCATAGAGAAATGAAAAATCAGCGCGAGGCTTTTGTGATGAGTCTCTCTGTCTCTCTCTCTCTCTTTCTCTCTCTGGCTCACTCTCTCTCTCTCTCTCTCTCTCTGTCTTTCTCCGTCTTTCTTTGTCTCTCTCTGTCTCTCTTTCTCTCTGGCGCACTCTCTCTCTCTCTCTGTATGTCTGTCTTTCTTTATTTGCTTCTCTCTCGCTCTATCTCTTTCTCTTCCTTTTCCTCTCCCTCTCTGTCTATCTCTCATTCCCTCTCACTTGCTATGGCATCACGATTAAGCTTAGCACAGCCTTAGCTCAGTCCAGCAATCTTACTAGAACAGGCCATAAATAGTTTAGTATTTCATTCAGAAGAAGTAACGGTTTTTGTGACTTTCTGCACATAACACACACTCTCACACACACTCTCACACACAATCACAGTTGGAAAAGACAAAAGTGGAGCAGCTGTTGCATAATTTATGCGAGATGCGAACCCACTCGACAGTCACTCGATAGTCCTCCAGCTCGCAGATTTGGCGCCGAATTATGCAGCGCCCAAAAGTATGCAGCAGCTGCTCGTTGTTATGCTGTCAGACAGTCGGGCAGACAGACAGACGAGGGGACTGGCTAAGCGAATCTCATATGCTGGCAGAAGGAATCCTTTGCTGCGCATAATTTAGTGCTTAGCTTAACTCCAAATGTGTTGCAGCAACAACAGCAGCAGCAACAAGGAGAGCAAACATCTGCTACCAGATTGAGTAATTCGGCGGGTGGGGGACAAAGTAGTTTAAGAGCTGACACTTCAGACACCCGGAAATAATAATAAAGTAAGCAAGCGCAACGGGAATGCAGATGAGATAGAGGCGGAGGAGGACTTGGACATGTTAATTAAGGAGTAGATGACAGGTCGGTGCAAAGTTGAGCCGTTTCATAGAGATTAAAATGCAATCGAGCAGACAACCGGAAGTGCTTAAAACATGATTCCTCTGAGAGTCTGCATGAAATTTTCAGTTTGCTATCAGGTGTTTGCAGTGCCAAGAAATGTAAACAAGGGATTCGAATCTATTTAGCATGAGCTTCGAGTAATAGGTCCACAATGGTCAGCACAAATCTGTTATACACTGCAAATGTGAAAAATATAAAAAGTTATATGTATATATATAGATAAAGATGAATAGATGTATTGATACTTTTTTTTTAATAAAGTGAAGTAATTACAATATGTTGCGAAATTGTTGAGAATTGGAGACCCACAACTGTTATACGCTTGTCTTCACAGTTACAATTTTTGCAAATTATAATTATTCGAAATTTGAATAGCTTCAAGTTTTAATTTGAATGAACTGTTATACAACTCAAAACTGTTATACGCTTGACTTCACATTGGAAGTTTTTGTATTTTATTCTTATTCGATTTAAACTTTCAATAACTTCAAGCTTAAATTAGACTGAACTGTTATACAACTCAACTGTTATACGCTCATCTTAACATTCGCAATTTTCGTATCATATTCTTATTCGATTTAGACTTTGTATAAATGTAGTTTGAATGTATTGAAATAGTGTAATAATTTGACAACCCAAAACTGTTATACATGGCAGCAGATTTGCAATCTCCATATATAGAGTATTGGAATGAGTATGCTGACTGCTTAACTGCTGCATTTTCTGAATTGAATCTCTCTATACATCTAATTTAAAGAAAAACTGTTGCAAATGGGAAGCAAACAACTGTTATACTCATCACTCTTTGTCTAAATGAAATGAAAACGAACTAAAGAGGACGCAGCTGTTAACAGCTGGGAATCATTTCAGATTGGTTTGAGCACCAACTAAGCAGAATCTATTAAAAAATAAATGCAACTGTCTGGAAATTCGAGAGGAGAGTGGTGCGAGGAGAAGTCGTGAAAGCGCATTTCAGAGGGAAATATATCGCTTTACAAATTTAAACTAGAAAGTAATTAAGTTAAACTTGACTATGAATGAAAATCATCCACCGAAGCTGGGTATTCGCTAATGAAATTCAAAATATTTCGAAAATGTGAAAGTTGAGCAAGCTAAGGCTTCCCACTCGCCCACTCGCACGCAACCTTTGCCCTTTGCGATGCTCCCACATTGATTAATTAGAAAGAATCACAGCTGCTGCAATTGCAAATGCCAACATTTTGTTGGACCTGGCAGCTAGAGCAGCAACTATAAATAGAAAATCCTGCTGCTCCCTGGTTGACCATTGGCTTACCATTCGCATAACACCGGGCGTCCGGAGAGGGACGTACGACGCAGCTCTGTTCAGCTGCATTTGAAAAGTTCAGCCAGCTGCACTTCAGGCCAAAACGTTTCGGCTGTCTCTTTCCTACTCTGCGCTAGCTCAACACTCTAGCTAAAGAGACTATCTACGACTTGCCGAATGAGTTGTCTATATCAGTGCTCGAGAGCTGAATAGTTCCTGAATCCTATCATTTTGCCATTGAGAGTCAAATCTATATATCCATCTATATCTGAAATGTTTGAACTGCCTAAATGCAAGTCTTGCGAAAAGCTTAAAAATTAAGCTAAATTTTTATACGTAAAAAATTCTTGTGTTTTTGCTGTCTACATATTAATATCTTGAACTTCCCAGATAATGAAAGAATATATTATATAAAACCTGTTTAATTTTTTTATTTTAAAAATATTTTATGGGCATCACTTTATAGGAGACTCTTTTAACACACCTCGCATGTCTGCAACAGCAGTCGATAAAATAGTTTTCATATGAAAAGTTTTTGGGTTTTTCCAATCAAATATTAATCGAGCCACTCTATAGCTTAAAGCTGCAACTATGCAAGAGTATTCAATATTCGACGTGCTGTAGTTTTTTTTTCCTTTAACTCTAGATTTTTTTTGCGAGTTTCTGTATGCAAATTTAATTAATATTTTTTGTGTTGTCTTCGTGCAGAAGCACAATATGTGTGTGCAAGCGTGTGAGTGTGTGAGTGTGGGTGTGCGTGTGTGTGTGTGTGTGTGGGCGTGACCTACTTGCATTTGCAGCGCAGGGACATGCTACAGTTTCCCTAGGCTCCGGAAAAAATGAATTTCAAAGTAAATATGACGGGGAATGCGGAATTATGTGCCTGGGCCTGTGTGTATGTGTGTGTGTGTGAGTGAACGTGCATATGACACGCCCACTTGTTGTGCCTTACACATACTCTACTGCATAGTAGAGTTGATTTTTTTCTACTGCGAGCAGCGCTTAAAAAACATAGTTGAAGCTATCATAAATACAGCTGACACTCGCACACACTCGGCTGCTGGCTTTGCGCATTTTGTGTTCGTGTGTGCTGCACAGTTGAAGGTCGCTTGTTGCCACGCCCACTGCTGCCAACGCCCCTGTCCAAGCAGTCATACATGCATAATAAGCCGCACGCTTTTCGCCCATGCAACATTTGTTTGTTTCTTTATATATTCTTTGTGCTTGGCAACCAACTAGCTACAACAACAACTTTGTCCCTCCCCCTCCCCCTCGTAGCCCATCCCCAAGCAAAACAAAATGCGCGTCGATAAATTAGTTGTGTGCCACGTTCGAGGCAATTGTTGTACCCTGTGCTCGAGTCTGTAGCATAGATAGAGTATTTGTCGCCTTAAACTTTAACTAAGCGTGTGTCTATAACGATCTTTGGTATTTTTAGTGCGCAGCTGCCGCACCGGCAAACAGGTGCAGATGACGGAGGCGGAGGTGCGCGGGTTGTGCTTGAAGTCGCGCGAGATATTCCTGCAGCAGCCGATACTGCTGGAGTTGGAGGCGCCACTCATCATCTGCGGCGACATACACGGCCAGTACACAGATCTGTTGCGGCTGTTCGAGTATGGCGGCTTTCCACCGACTGCCAACTATCTGTTCCTCGGCGACTACGTGGACCGGGGCAAGCAGTCCTTGGAGACGATCTGTTTGCTCTTGGCCTACAAGATCAAATATCCCGAGAATTTCTTCTTGTTGCGCGGCAATCACGAGTGCGCCAGTATTAATAGAATTTACGGTAAGTGTGCGGCATGTGGCATGTGGCATGTGGATTGCAAGTAGTTTCTGTGGAATGCAAGATTATTTTTTGTGGACTGCAAGTTTAGACAACGAATTTTTGATTAAATACGAGCTCGTTCGACAGTGGAACTTATGTGGACTGCAAATTTAACTAGCCTGTGATGGTGGAACATATGCAGATTGTGGATTATGAGCGAAGCCCAGATACAACTGAGATCTAATTACGAGAATAGGACTATTATTTAGAAACAGTATATTATTTATAGTTTTGGGTTCATTGTGTATCGTATGTGGATTGTGTAGGCGAAAAGGCGTATGCCAATTGGAGCCTAAGCGAAACTCTGATAATCTGCATGAATATCCGTGTGCAAGTAGGATAATCGTACGGACGACTAGGAAACTGAATGCCAATCGAAGATCTTGTAACTCTTGATATTAACTTTTGTGGATGCCATTTACCATAATATATTTGTGTCTTTCGTCAGGCTTTTACGACGAGTGCAAGCGTCGCTATAATGTCAAACTATGGAAAACGTTCACAGACTGTTTCAACTGTCTGCCGGTGGCTGCGATCATAGACGAGAAGATCTTTTGCTGCCACGGCGGCCTCAGTCCCGATCTGCAGGGCATGGAGCAGATTCGTCGCCTGATGCGACCCACAGATGTGCCCGATACTGGGCTGCTCTGCGACCTGCTCTGGAGCGATCCTGACAAGGATGTCCAGGGCTGGGGCGAAAACGATCGTGGCGTTAGCTTCACCTTCGGCGTTGATGTGGTCTCGAAATTCTTGAATCGACACGAGCTGGACTTGATCTGTCGTGCGCATCAGGTCAGTCATACAACCATACCAAGTCTACTAAATGTACTAAATATTTGAATTATGCTAAAAACAGGTCGTTGAGGACGGCTACGAGTTCTTTGCGCGCCGTCAGCTGGTCACACTGTTCTCGGCGCCCAACTACTGCGGCGAATTCGACAATGCTGGCGGCATGATGACCGTGGACGATACGCTCATGTGCTCATTCCAGGTAAGTTTTATCCATCGCAGCCCGCGCCTCTGTGTGTGCACCATGTGATCATATATGATATCATCTGTGCTGTATTTCAGATATTGAAGCCATCCGAGAAGAAGGCCAAGTACTTGTACAGCGGCATGAACTCATCCCGGCCAACAACACCGCAGCGCAGCGCCCCAATGTTGGCGACCAACAAGAAGAAATAATATATCCATCCGCTTCCATTTCCTTAAAACCTCAACAAACAGCAGCAGCAGCAGCGGCAGCAGCAGCAAAAACAATTAATAACAGATAAACGAATAACTTTTATATAGTATATATACATAAATATGTCAAAATTTAATGTGTGCAAATTAACTAGTTGAAAAATCAAAAAACAAACAAAAAATAAATAAATACAAAAAAAAAATACAAATATAACAACCGAAAGAAAAACAAATACAAAAACAAAAGCAAAATTCAAATGCAAATTGCAGCGAAAAAAAAGTTGCAAAAGAACGCTAAAACGTGTTAACAGTTTAAAACAACAAAAAAATAAATAAATAAATATATATATATATCAAATCTATATATATATAGATACATGTATATGATTATACTGTGTGTGTAACTGTACGTTATCATTAACTGTATACAACTTCTATATTATTTATTAACATTACATGTACATACATGTTGCTATATGCATATTGACTACACTACGCTACACTGCACTACACTACACTACACTACACTACATTACACTACATGAAACACACTCACACTTAAGTTCTTGCATTTGTTTATAAAGTAAAGCTCTTGTCCTCCCCTCCAATTGGCTTGTTATTGATGTAGGTCAAGATCACGCTCCACTCCATACCTAATCGTCGCCACGCCTCGCCCCGCCCATCCAATTAACACACGATTTTGAGCAACAAGAGTACAGCGATTTAAGCAATGAATTTATATAGACATATTAATGTAAACTATATACGATATCTACTTATATGTACCGCAACCAAAATACATAATAAATGCAAACAAAAGCTATTAACTAGTTTTTCCCACAACATTTAAGCAAACAAAAAAGGAAAATGGAAAAACTACATTAAAAAAAAACCCACTTTAGAGCAGCAAATAAATGTAGTTCTATTATATTTAATTTTCAACTTCTGTGTGCGCCGTTTAAAGCTAAAAGAAAATATAAAAATATATTGTTTATAAACAAAGTGCGCATTACGATTTGTCTAACAAATAAAAGCAAAAAAACAAATAAAAAAAAGAATAAAAATTTACAACTTAAGCGTAAGGCAGTTAAACTATGTGTATGTTTTTTTTTATATTTATTATTATTTACCTGCTTTCAAGTGTACTTTATTTAATTTCACTTCGTTAAATTAATTTATTGCAATTTTTATTGTATTTTAAAGAAAACAAAAACAAAACAACTAAAGTTTAAATGTAAAATGCGAAAAGCAGAATTAAATATTTTTTTTTAGCAAGTGACAAGTTATGAATAAATAAATATATACATATATATATTTATATATATATATATACATATATATATATATGCATATGTGTACTAAAATAGTTTTAAACAACTGTTAATGAATGGAAAGAAAACCATATTAAATAAATCTAAATACAAATACAACTCGATTAGTTTTATATACATAACGAGAATCAACAACAATTGTTTATTAATCATAATGAATTATAAACTTTTAACATCAAGCATGCCTAACATTTTTAACTTGCCTCAAACATTACTAAAGAAGAAAAGAAATGAAAAAAATGATAAATTATAAAGAGAAAATATTTTAACGAATTTTTAAGCATTACTTCGAGTACTTGAGACACCAATATATTGCTTTTCTTCTTGTATTTATATACATATATAAATGATATATATATATATACATGACTTGAGTTCTTTCATCAACTTTATTAGATTGTAGTGCCTTTTTTTGCCTCCCAAAAGAATCGAACATTAAAATGAAAACGAAAGGAAATCCTGAAATTTAAACGAAGAAACTATAAAGTTTATTTACACATAAATATAATATATAAATATATGCATATATGTGTATGCATATATTAAAATATAGTATACATTTTTTATGTAACTAGAGATGCAAGTTGGCAAAGTAGAGAAAGTAACTGTTATCAGCAGCTGGCTGAGCTTGCGTGTCAAGCGGCTTGACGTGGCCTGCATAACGTGGCATTGAAGTCAATTAATTGCATCACAAATTGTGTTTCACACATGCAACGTGCAACGTGCGACATGCAACACACAACAACGCTTCTGACTCGCGCCTCGAATTTGTTGCAACATTTCTTTCGATTGCTTAGCAAAATCATTTTCAATTAATCTTTAAATTCTTCAGCTTCGTGTGCCTGTGCGCACACACACACACACACACATATTGGGTATATAAGAGAAAAAAAAAAAACAAATCAAGACACAACTACTGTGGTTGAAAAACGCAACACAACTGCGAATACAACAATACGATGGAAGAAAACAAATTAAAAAAAAAGAAAAATTAAAATTTAAATAAATTAATATATTTATTATTGAAAATCAAATAAAAATTATTAAAAATTTATGTAAACAAATTGCACAGTTTTTTCATTCATTGATTGGGTTTGTAGAATATTTTTATTTTTCGACAGCAGCGACTTTAATTCAATTGCAGTTCACGTTAATCGAATCAATGTGCACTCTGCTTCCCTCTCACTGACGAATTGGGCTTGCCTTCATTTATGCACTCATGCACACACACACAAATGTGTACTATGTGCCGTTATATGTGTGTAAGCTTGTTTGTTAACGAACACAAAAAATATTAGCTGTCCAGAGCGTCGCTTCTTTTCGTCAACGGTGCACGATCGCTCTTCGTGCAATCCAAAAACAACTATGTTGGCAAAGCAGCAGCAACAGCAACTCCTACAAAAAATTCGAGCATCATAACAGCCTTAGAAATGCAGTAATTCAATCTGCCATCTCGCTTTAGCTTATATACTGCACGATTCTGCGTCGCATCAACTGCACATTGTTGTTGTTTCTGAGTTCCCTTGCACTTCTGATTCGCTAAATAGATGTGTCCAATGAACCAATCAGCGCTCTTACTCGTAACAAATTTGCAGTTTTACATACTTGGTCCAATAGCCATCAAAGCTGTTTACATAATGCATGCGCTCGAGCTTTTCTATTTGCACAGAAGGAGGGTCGGAAACTATTAAATACCTGATGCACATAAAAGGTACTAGGTAAATAAAAGGTAATTGGTGGAATGTTAAACATAAAGCTTAGTAGTAGCTTTTGATACCCTGTGCCCGAGATGAGCCAACTATGAAAGCTTTAGGTAGGAGTGGGCAAGAATCATACCATCTGTGCTTTAAAGTTTTTCGCACTCCGAAAATGTTTCGGAGTCGATAACATAAAAAGCTCAACACACTGTTAACTAACTGCTCGGCCGGCTGTTAATTAACATCAGCCTGTCAGCCTCTGGGCTGTTGCTCGGATAGTCGTGGGCCGTCAACACGGAGCTCTGCTGCCAGAGCCATGAATAGTAGGTGGTCTACTCTAAGTTAGTTTGGCTAATGGTTTAAGCTGATGCCTGACAAAGATTTCGAGTGTCCCGCTGGCCTTTAGCTGTCGCCGCCGCCAACGTTATGGCGCCCATTTTTCCGAAATGAAAACAAGCAAAATTGTGTTTTATTTTATGTTTAACATTTATTTCATAATGCTTCGAATGCTCTGGATGATGTGCAGCATGCGACCGTGAACCTTAAGGTCCATCCAATCATTAATCATGCCAGTTGAGCGCTAAAAAAAACTCTTAAAAAAACATATAAGCAAAAAGTATAAAACTTATAATTGAGCCCTCAAATCCAAATCCAAATCCCCAATAACAACTCCGATGAGACTTATAGAGTAAACATTTAATAAATACACATAAATTTCAGTATATTGATGTATGTATGTTTGTACATAGAGATATAGAACTGCCGGTCGATGTATGCCTTGAGACCTTCCATTACATGTGCTTCGGGGTGTCTCGTAGCTCGGCTGGCAGGTTTACATAAATATATATCCGTACGGATCGCATAGGAGAGTTCGTAGTTTTAGCTACCGTCTTAGTTGCTCCTCTTTGTAGTCATAGAAATGCATCACATTGAGATTGTAATTGTTGAAAATACTTTCTGGTTTCAAATAGGTTTATAACGGCTCCTTACAGTGGACCATAGATAGACACATATATAAGTATATACGTATGTGAATAGCATGTATGTGATGCATATAGTGTGTTTGGTTAATATAAGTGGCTAATACTTGCTTTCGATCTAGCTTGCTTGCTTGGGTTATGGCTTATATATGCTTGTGTTTTGGTTAGTTAGTTAGTTATTTAGTTAGTTTACTTGGCTAATTGTCTATTTGACCATAAATTCTTGATTTAACTTTAGACATTTACACATTGAGATATTTGTTGGTATGGAACTGCGCTTATAGCTAACATTTAAAATCGTATATTTGAAATCCATTTTTATGGCTGTAATTGTCTGTCTCTGTGTGTGTGTGTGAGTGTGTGATTGTGTGAGTGTCGGAGTCCTGTGGCTCGCGACTTCATTTAATGTTCAATTCGCCAGTTCATGCGCTTCGCCAGAATATCCACAGTTCTGTTGACGTTCGAAATGTATTGATTTATAAGTGTGTATATAGGTAGTGTATTGGGTGGATCTAGGCTTGACATTAACGTTTGCTAAACACATAGATATATCGAGAGTATTCGTCAAGCTCCACTCTGCTACTACACATACATATAGAATCAAATGTAGGTAAATAGATATATATGTTTATAGCTTTAGTAGCTTTTTCTTGTTTTTTTTTCTTTGTTTTTTTTTTCTTGTGTGTGTGTTTTTTTTTTCTTTTTTTCGTTTTCGGCCGGCAACACTATGGGTATTCCCACTGGCATTTATAATTTACTTGATTGTTGGTTAGCAATATAAATGCAGCGCTTGGCTGGATTTTGTAACTGCAGTTTTGTGACTTTGTTTTTAAATTTGTGTTTATTTTTTTGTGTTTAAGCTTTATTTGTTTTTTATTCTATTGTTTTTGTGTTTTTTGTTGTTTTTGTTTTTTTTTTATTTTTTTTTTTTTTTTGCTTTGAAACTGGGACGAACTGCGAGCATCCTCTAGGGTATGCAAGTGTCGTCAAAACTAACCTCAGCGTGTGGCTCACCTTCACACAGCTCTCTCTAAAATTCGCTTTCTGTGTACCGTTATGAGTACGTTCCATAGTGTTTTAGATGTACTTGTTTATATTAATGCGGCAAGCAGTAGGGAAAATTGCGTGTATATATTTTGGTTTATTGTATATATATAATGTATATATATATATATATATTTAAATGTGTATATATATATATATATGCATATGTATATATATATATATCTGTGTGTAAATGTGTATATATGTGTATATCTATGTAATATGACGGGGAAACTCACAGATATGTATGCTTCAGAGGCATGTTTTTTTTTGTTTTTTTTTTGTTTTTCTCATTTCGTTTTCTTTGATTTTTGTTGTTTCTAAATACATTTCATGTGAAACCGCAACATTTATATTTTGTTTTATTTGTGTTCGCTTATTGTTTTTGTTTTTGGTTTTGTTTTTGTTTTTGTTTTTTGTTTTTGGTTTTGTTTTTGTTTATGTTTATGTGTGTTGTTTTATTTATTTTTGGTTTTTTTTTTTATTTTTGTTTTTTTTTTTTTGTTTGAATAGATTGAGTATTACTATATGGTATTACATGGCTTATCCATTTGGAGTAGTGTTATATATCAATTACAACACACATATATAGACGTCTATAGGTTAAATAGAAGTATATCAATTATATTGAGAACTGGGTACCCATTTGTTCATATGTTTTGTTTTTTGTTTGTTTAGTTTGTTGTTAAGTTTGAAAATACGTTTTTATTTCTAGTTTTCATTTGAATCATTCCATTTGCATTTTGGTTGAATATCATATTTAAATATGTAAACGTACATGTATATGTATATATAAATATATATATGTGCACATATATATAGTTTTGAGTTGGGAGTATTTTAGACAACTATTTGTTTAATATCAACTCACACTTATAAATTGTATATCATGTATATTGAATTCAATTCATTTATAATATATTTTAAATTTGAAAATTTTCATTTTTGTTTTTTTCATTTTGCATTTTGCATTTTTTACTTTTTATTTTTCATTTTGCAAATTTCGTTTTAAGTTTTTAGTTTTTCCATTTTGGATTTTCATTTCTCATTTTCATTTTTCATTTTTCATTTTATATTTTTCATTTTTAAATTTTCCATTTAAATTCGCATTCGTTTTTGAATGCCTCTTGCCGTTGGCTCTCAATCATTTCGATTGAGTAAATTGGTATCGATACCTAACTATATTCGTGCCTTGTGGCGCCAATCATGATTGACCCCGCCCCTGACGCATCCACCCATCAAAATGTCTTGCCTCACCTAGTGGCTGCATACCACTCCATGGATCGCCTCTCAGCTGCTGCAGCTGCTACCCTGACAACGGTGTTGTCGAAAAATCTACTAAAACTAACTTTCCACTCGTTGGCCGCTCTCAATAAGCTCCAACGTCCCTTCCCCCACCCCCACCCCCTCCGACATCCCAAAAAAACCCCACCACCACCACCGCCCCCTGTGCCTGCCTAACCGCTATCCAGGGGGCTCCTATGCTAATCGTGAAATCGTTTTTTCCTTTGAAACCAAAACTGAATCGTTTACGCTTTCGCATCAATTATACACTTATACCTTCTTCTTCTTCATCGTCATCGTCATCATCATCATCGTCATCATCATCATCATCATCATCATCATCATCTTCTGGTTCGTCATCGCCTTCTTCATCGTCTTCTTCATCTTCATCTTCGTCGTGCTCACAAATTCTTCCTGTTGTAACTCGTCGTGTTCTCCTCTCTACTTCGTTTTGACCTTTTCTGGGCTGTGTCCGGCCAACGTTTGCCTGCTCCTACGGCTTCTTGCGTTTGGCAAACATCTGAGACCACAATCAGAATCAGACATTTGTGGTCTTTGGAATGGTGCCCGTCTCGGTGGTGGGCTGCTGGCGCTCCTCTTCGCGATGTTGCTCCAAGTGCACCTGGACGACATGCTGCTCGACCTGTTGCGGCTCGACCTGCGGCTCCTCGGTATCATCGATGTCTCTGGCCAAGGTCTCGCTGCGCTGCAGGCGTCGCTTCTGGATGCTGGAGCTCTGCTTCGGTGGCCCAGTTGGCACGGGCACGCATATGTTGAACTCCTCGTCGGCCGGCTCGATGCAGTCCAGTTGGCTGATGTCGTCGACGCCCACATTGACTGCAGCTGCAGCAGCGGCCGCAGCACTCGTCGATGGACCATCGCCGAATGGCAGCGGCGAGGTGTTCGAAGATTTATCCATGGTGGACAAGCGCTTACCATTCTTGCGGCCAACGGGCACATCCTGCAGTGTTAGCCGCTCCAAACGCAGCTCGGCCAACGTGGACGAAGTGTGGCCCGGACGCATCGACTCATCCACGTGGACGAGCACAAAGGGCAGCTTCAAAGACAACTCGCCGCCCATGCCGCTCAGCGTCAGCTTCACCTTCACATAGTACGACACGTAAATGGCGAAGACATTGCGATCGTCGCCCAAGCCGTTGCCACCGCTGCTGCTGACAGTGGCTGCGCTCAGGGCAGCCGAGTTGGGCGGCTGCGGCATGGCCATGGCCGGGCTGGCCAGTGGATGGCCGCTTAGCAGCTGGGCGGCCTGCATAACGAAATTGGGCGAGCGTATGGCCGATGCAGCAATGGCGCCAGTTATCTCATCCGGCTCGGTGCTGCGCTGCAGCGTGTCCTCCAATGCGATCCAGTTCTTGGTGGGCCCGCGCTGTGGACGCAGTGCCACAGTCGTGTTCAATGTGCCACCCGGCGGTACGGTGCGGTCCACAGAGGGCGAAATATTTTCCGAGTCGGCGACGACGTTCTTGAACTTCCCATTGTTGAACATGCAGACGTCCACGTGCTGAATGGCGCAGACCTGTCAAAGAGAGCGAGAGCGAAAGAGTGAGAGTGAGAGTGAGTGTGAGAGAGAGTAACAATAACAGGGTCATTGGGCCAGACATGCCAACAAGGCCAGTGGGCTGCCAATCAAATTGGCTGCGTCAATGCGACGCAAGTGTTATATCAATATCAAGGGCGCACAAAAGTCGAGGGTCAGCGGGCGAACACCGAACCTTGAGCACCCTACGTGGGCAGCTAACTGAGCGTATGAATAGGCAAGCTCAACGGCCACTGGTATAGATGGAGGATTTCTTTATCTGCAAGTAAGGCTGGGTGCAGCTGCACTGACATCGACTACCAGCTGCTCCAAGCTCAACAGTTTCCTGGTTACAGCATCGACTATAAATAAGAACATCCTTATTCGGGGTCAAGGGTGTGCCAATGGCTAGTTATACAATCCTCAGCTGAGTTACAGTCGCAAAGCTCATGGAAAAGCCAAGCGAATACCTTTGCTAGACAAAGCATATTGATTCCGTGACACATGTCCATTGTGTGTGTGTGCGTGTGTGTGCGTGTGGGCTGGCTGAAATGATGGTAGCATTATTTGATTGCGTTCCCGCGCTTACTTCAACCTTATCTATGGACAAGCCAATCAAAAGTAATGCACTCAATTACGTCCATAAATGCGGACACCGACCGGACTGGCCGACTGGCCGACTGGCCGCAGGGACGTGCCAGGATTATGTCCTTTGCGCTACCTCCGCAATTGATTTGCCATTTTGGGCTGCATTTTGTTTCGATTTCAGTTGTAATGAGGCCCATTTGTCGGGCCAGCCTGCCCGACCGGAATGTCCACATGTGAATGCCCAATATATGAACGCAAATTTCGATGGATGCCTGGCAACAGGCACTGCCTGTACAGGGCTGTACAGGTTGTTCCCTTGGCGCGTAACGAGCAGTTCCACCAAAGTTTGCTTAATGAGTGTTTGCATGTCCGATAATTGTTTAAAATAATTCAATTTTCTGCTTTTTAGTCGAGGCCCACTCCCCCCCCCCCCCTCGCTCACTCGCTGCTTTGCCATTTTTCGCCTAGTTGAGCTCACTTCTTTATAATTAAATTTGAAAGATGGCATCCAGTTGCATCCTCAAATTGCCGGCGGCCAACGCAATTATCGAGCAGCCAAAAGCGAAAGGTCGAACAGCAAAGTGCTCGACATTCTATGCGTCTATTGCCCCCTGTGAGTCTAGAGAAGCATGCCCATATTCATTGATATGGCAATTAATCTATAATTATGTTGTGAAACCTTTTCTGACAGTTTGGCCTTTTATGTTCAATTTGAGGCCAATGCATTGGGCGGAATCGGAGGTCAAGCTGCTTACACATTATCGGTTTGCATTGCCATGCAAATATTATTCTATAGAAATATGTGTTTTTCCAGCTTGTTGTTTAACGACCAACAACGCGTAAGTTCTCGACTTCATAGTACTCGTTCGCAGCTCAAGAGCAGCTGAATTTATTCTAAAATATATATTCTTCGGATCTAGCGAGCTATAACTTTAAATTTTTACTTTTAGACTGCGTCAATGATGTCAACTGTTTAGCAGTTGTCAACAGCAACCGCAAGACGAACGTAGCACAAAGCCAATATACTCCTAGCACTTTGTGAACGAGTATGAAACTCATTAAATAGAATTAAAAAAAAGATGCAATGCAATGCGCATGGCGCATTATGTATAAAAAATACTATATGTTATACAATGGGTTGACAGCTGAAAATGTTGTTGTGTTGGCTGTAAAAACGCTCTTTGCACACTCTTCTAAATGCCTTTATTTACTGTTGTTGCAAAGGTGTTGGCACTGAGGTGTCATCGCTGGATTGTTCAGCGCTATTTAATTCGACTATCAATTGCCTGCGGGTCTCTATGTATCTGCTGTCCCTCTCGCTCCCTTTTTGATACGGCTAGGGCTTGCTGCATAATTTATATTTATTTATATTTGTAAAACCAATTTAATAAAATGATAATTTTATATATTTGTAAAACCAATTTAATAAAATGATAATTTTATATATTTATAAAAATAATTTTGAGCTATTCATCGTCTTGCGATCTGGCCTATGTGATAAGGAAACACCTTTGTATATGAGCACCTGCTTGCCGGAATGAGAAAATGTATCTCAGCGGAGAAATTTGTTGCCTTTTTCCATATTAACTTCATTTGGCATTCAATTGTGAGCAGTTGTTGTCGCTTGTGCGACTTCCCTCTCGCACAATTGGCTCGCACACACAAACGTTCTCACACACACACACATATGCATAGCCGTTTTTTGGTCTGGCTGCTGCCCCATTTAATATTCATGTCCGTAATCTTATGTGCCCAATAGTTCCCTGATTAAGTCCCTCATACATATGCATATATGCATTCTTTGAATCTTATAAAGAATTCATACTTCTTCAAGTTCTTTGCAAGAGGCAATTGAATCTATCTTTGATCGTATCATTATTTATAAATCTTATAAATCTTATTACCAGCTCATATTCGAGTGTCAAACATACGTTTCCATATTACTATACGAAGTATATTATTTATTTATTTATTCTGACAAGCAGTTGTTGAATTAATAAATTATTTATTAGGCTAGCTTAGTTTAGTAAGTCAGTCAATCAGTCAGTTAGCTGAGCAGTTAGTTAGTCATTAGGTCAGCCAATCAATTAGTTAATCTTTTAATCAATCAGTCAGTTATTCAGACATCAGTTAATTACTGTCAGGCAATCAGTCAATCAGTCAATTATCCCAATCATTGTAACAGTCAGCTAGTCAGTCAGTTGCAATCAATCAGTTAGCCCGTCTATTAGGCATTCAGTCACGCAATCTGTCAAGCCCATCAGTCAACTACTCAATCAGTCAGTCAGTCAATCACTCAGTCAATCAGTCAGTCAATCGGTCAGTCTATCAGTTAGTTAATCAGTCAGTCAGTCAGTAAGCTCATCAATCAGTCTATCAGTCAGTCAATCAATCAGTCAGTCAATCAGTCTGTCAACAGTCCGTCAATCAGTCAGTCAATCAGTCAGTCAATAGTTCAATCAATTGCTATTAAGCGTTTAGTCAGTAACTCAGTCAATCAATCAGTCAATCACTTAAAATCATGGAGTTAGTAAGTCAATCAGTCAGTGAGACAGTCAGTCAATCAGTCATTCAATCGCTTAATCAGGCAGCCATTCAATCAGTTACAATCAAGCAGCTTGTATGTCAATCAATCACTCTCAATCAATCAATAATTAAGTCAACCAGTCAGTCAGTTAACTTAACTGTCATCTAGCCTCTGGCTGCTTATCAGTTAGTCTACCAGCCTAACTGTGAGACAACCTGCTATCCTGCCAGTCAGACAATCGGTCAGTTAGTCATTTTGTCAGTGAATCAGTCAGTCATGGGTTTTATGCACCGCATTCCATGCCAACCGCAAGCTCGATTGTCCGGAAACTTGTTGCTCAGTGTAGGCAGCTCTTGAGGCCAGAAAGCTTGCCGAAATTGTTGCATATACAATTGAGTCTCCATGTGTGTGTGTGTGTGTGGGTGTGTGTGTGTGTGTCATTGTGCGAGTGTGCGTAAGGTTTTCAACTTTTTAGTTTCATTGTTGACTTGCAGAGAAACGAGTCGTAAAAAATTGTATAAAACCAAGAAGTGAGCCAAAGGCAAGCAAAAGTGAAAGCGAACGCTGTGACAATAAAAGCTCAACGAACGAGAATAGTGAGAGAATATATATATATATATATATATATATATATAAATGTGTAAATATACTAAGTGTTTGTGAATGTATGGGCATTTAATGTATATTTAATAGGCCGAAACGTACGGAGCAACAGCATAGAAATTGTAGCATACTTTTTTGGCGCTGGCCCATGAAATATTGAGTTGACCAGCGACCGCTGACCATGAGACTAGATAAGTGCATGTTCGACACTCTCACTATATAGCTGTACATGGAGTGTACGTAATTGAACAAAATTGCGGTCGTAATCCGCTTTCATACAGAATTCGCAAATGCTTTACATTAATGAGAAACCAGACACATGTTTCTCTGATGGCATAAAGTGCCCGCTTATTAACGGAGCAAACACGACGCTATCACTCTGAATGCCTTGCACATGCCACTGCATACGTGTAAGCCATAAATACATGTTTATATACGTATATGTACATATGATTATTATATGTAGATTTATTTGCATATACTTATAGCATGGAAATACCTATTAGAGGGACTTTGCATGCAGTTGCTGGCGCTCGCACGGGCAATGCGAGAAATGGGAAATGGGAAATGGATACTTCTGGCTGGCAATCAGTGCATGTATTGCACTTGTCTGTTGTGGCATACTTCACACACCTTACACTTCCACCTGTTTCCCATAAATTAGCTCCAAGCTCCATTTTTTCCCAATAGCCGTTGACGAGTGCAGCGAGCTGCAAGTGTCAAGTTCAGTCGAAACATTTGCAATTTATTTGTAAAATAATATTGATATGATTGTTTGCATACGCATCACATTTGCATATCAAATTATAGTTTCGAAAATGAACGTCGCTCTGCAAATGTATTTAATTAGTTTGTCACACATCAATAATTTGCATAAAGTATAAATTGTTCTATTAGCCCGACTCTGGCAGCTGAAATGACAGAGTGTTCGCTTTAATTAAACTGTGCTGTTGTTGTGCAGGCATTTAAATCCTCTTTAGTGCCGAGGTCATCATTATACATAAATATTTTCATGATTCTCGCAAATTGCGTAATTTTTATAATGTGCATCTATGTGAATTTAGCTTCCGGTTCGATTCTCGGTGTCCGACTGTTTGCACTTTTCATTTGCCCGCTGGCCTGTGTATCTGTCAGTCAGTCAGTCAGTCTGTCGGTCTGTCTGTCTGTCTGTCTGACTATCTATCTATTTGTTCATCAATAAATAATGCGTTGTGAAAATACTGTGTCTATAATAATATAAACAATAACGTTGGACAGGCGCCTAGCCACACCACACAGTCAGGTCGAGTCGAGTGGAGTCGAGTCGAGTCGAGTCGATTCGAGGCAGAGTCCTTCTTTCGCTCTTACTGGCTCTGTCTCTCTAGGCATATTTCTGAATCGAATGTCCACAATAACTTAGCAAATGCTCACTCTATCTCTCTCTCCCTCCCACTCCCTGTCTCTGGCTGTATATTGCTCCCTGTTTCCGCTGTTGACTGTGCAACGCTTTTGCATTTTGTATTAGCTTCAAGTGGCCGGAAGCTAGTTTATGTGGCCTGTCCTCGTTGTGACTATGAAATACTAAGCAGCGAGTGCAATAGCAGCGCGTGCACGCACCGATTCCCCTGAGCCAGCGTGCACAGCACAATTGAATCATCATTCGCTTAGTCCAGCTGACTTGGCTGACATTGCGTATACGTAACATCTGGCCATCCATAGAAATGACGTGGCTCGAATTTACGGCACATTTTTCTGACTCTTAGCGGGCCAATTTTAAGTCATTCGATGAGAGTGGCTAATTGCAATGCACGTGTCGAGAATCGAGTGCCCAGCAGGCTTACGAAGAGGCTTACGCAAGAGCTAACATCTAACAGAGCAGACAACGGGCCGAGGCTTTCGCTGTCCCGGTCGCAGCTGCATTCATCAATGCAACAATACTCTGAACCTAGGGATTAGCTGCTCTTAGCAACATTCCCACAGTCGGCAGCACATAGCACAGGTGATTTGCAAGCCATTTAATCGTATCTTCCTCTTATCCTCAAGTGAAGCCTAACCGCGCACTGTCTGCTGTGTAACTCATTCGAAGACTGTAGCTCTTCATTATCTAACTAAATTTAATTAACTATCTTTATAGTCTACTTATATTGGAGATCGATATTTATCGATTATTGATGGCTAGCGTGAGTGATATTTGTTGGCCTGTTACACAAAGGACCCCAATTGGGGCATGCCTTATTGCATTTAATGTGTGCAGGGCATATGCAAAGTGTGGCTCGAGAATGTTAACCAAAAGCGAGCGGATGCGGCTAAACTTGAGTTGAGTTGTGCAGAATCCGCTCGCAGAGCCGCAGCTGGAGAGGCGCCCACATAGCCACAGACACACACACACACGCCTTAGTTGTTGCCAAAGTGACAATCTGATATTGTAGCATACTTTTGTGGGCGAAGCTCGCCATTAATACACTTCACACACGCACACACACAAATTGGGTGTGTGCTTGTGTGATTAAAGCTGACTGTGTGTGTGTGCAAGAGAGAGAGTGAGAGAGCGAAAGTATTCACTAGTTGTCTGGGTAACCTTGATGGGTTTTGCTTAAGCAAAAAGGGGTGCCAGTTCGTTGAAAGTAGCTGCGGGCACACGTGCACATATGTTTGTCTTTGTCTTTGTGTGTGTGCGTGTGTGTGTGTGTATGTGTGTGTGTTAAAAAGTAAAACCCATAAAATGTATAAACACAATTTTCACTCGAGCTGAGCCTTTTGCCAGTTCTACTTAAGCCCCAAGCTAGCTGCCAACCTTTTGGCTGCTGTCGCACAACTATTTCCTTTTTGGCCTCTGCTGTGGCTGCTTCTTCTTCAGGTGATTTCTTTTTGAATTTTCTTGAGTGGCTACACTCCAGATATTGCACATTCTATGCTCACCGTGCTTTGGCCGTACTTATATTTTTGCTATGCTAGGGCCAAACGTCATTTGCATTCGCTGATTCTTTGTGTCCGCTCAGCCTCGCCGTCGTTTCGCACAGCTCGTGGGCAACATTTGCAGTGGCAGCTGGCCACCCAGAACGGTTTCTGAACTGTTTTCCCAGCGGGCTGTTTGCTTTGTCAGCCAGTTTTCGGTGCGGTGGCAGGCAGCAGGAACAGCAATAGCGATAGCAATAGCTATAGCTAAAGCAACAGCAACGACCGCACCGGCTACAAATAAACAGCTTTGCTTGTCCGCCTGTCCACACGACGTATGCGTAATATTCGTTGGGTGTTTATTAAGAGCTTATGGCTCAATCAGCACTTTGCTTTTCGCACACCACACTCGACTGCGCAACCCCTTGCCCTGTCCGCCATAGCTAACAGAAGCCATGTGTACATAACACCGCAGCGCCAATACTCTTTTGTTTTCTCGACTATTTACTCAGGATTGGAAGTTGGAGAGCTGCACAGGAATTAAGTTTTCAGCGTAAGCAGCTTATATGTGCTTCGGAATTCAATAATTCTTGTATAAGATTCGTATTACGATTCGTTTGTCCAACTTCAATTTGATTGCATCCCACTGTTATACAGTTACACAGAGATTTGGCATTTTTTACATCTATCTATTGCCTGGTGAATTTCATACTCAATCACAATCACTTTACCTTTCCTTTTTCTGTTACACAACTTTACTGACATATAGTGTTCTACATCAGCAATCGATGTGTGTTTAAGGATTACGATTCGTACTTGCTGTTATACAACCATCTAAGCTTTTACCTAGTCAAGCATTTTTTTGAAGCGCAGTCTATTGGCTTGTCTAAATCAGTTATTTAACTGTTGTACGAAATTGTTATACACAATTTTAATATAATACAAAACTGGTATATAAAACTGTTATACAAAACTGTTATACAAAACTGTTTTACAATACTGTTATACAAAACTATTATACAAAACTGTTATACAAACATGTTATACAATACTGTTATACAAAACTGTTATAAAAACTGTTATACAAAACGTTTATAAAAACTGTTTAAAAAACTGTTATAAAAAACTAGTATCCAAAACTGGTATACAAAACTGGTATACAAAACTGGTATACAAAACTGGTATACAAAACTGGTATACAAAACTGGTATACAAAACTGGTATACAAAGCTGCCAACAATAATCAATTGAACACTTCTTTAATCTATAGCAGCTTAATTAACAAACACAAACTAAATGCCTTTGTTCTTGTGCTCAGTCGATTTAAGTGGTGAGTCTACGTGTTTATAATATTAATACGACACTTCACACATACCTATATCAAAATAACTGATGATTTATTTATGTGGTTGTGTGTGTTGGCGCTTACAAGTATTTTTTGCAAAAACATTTGTCGCAATAAGCCGCCCACTGAGCAACAGACGAGAATCTTACATGTCTTTGCCATTCGACAGAGGCCGACACAAAAGAATCAGTTCAAGCACTGGCAGTCTTAGTGCAGAGTCTTGAGAGTGGAAAAACATTCTTTTCTTTTGAGTTGGTAAATTGAAATAAGCTCTTGCCGTTGTCCATGTCGTCGCTTTGGCATATATAAGGTAATGGCTGCCGTAAAGTCCTCCTAATTGGTTGCTGCAGAGAGCACTACGCTCTAAGCCAATTGTGCAAAAGTGCAACTTTAATATTGAGCGACTGCAAGCTCTAAGAGTCTGCCTCGTTGCCATTTGATTGACTGTCAGTTGGACAGCAAATGGGGCAGCTGACAGCTCTTCACAGCGCTGGGCATGAATAGAGTTTCGTTGCCTCTTAGTTTATTTGAGTGCATACAGACAATATGGAGGGCTAATGTTGCCACTCATGTTCTCGTTACGACGTTGCGCATAATTTATTTAATACTTTCCGCTGCGCGAGTGTAAGTACTGAACTACAATAGCAATGGCATGTGGCATGTGGCAGGCGATATATTGCATGCAACATGGGGTAGATAAGCAACAGCTGACATAGGACCCAACAACTTGTAGTGAAATGCAACAGTTAGCTCAGCAAATGTGGCAAGTACCTGGCAAGTAGCTGCTATATTGCATGCAGATTACAGCTTGAGAGCGAGAGAGCGACAGACAGATGGAAAAAACAGTCCAGGAGACTGTGAAGAAGATAAGGAAATCGTAAGTGCTCCAAGCTATTCATCCAGGACTTAAGCCAAAACATAGTTGTATTACGCATATAATTGCAATTCCTTCATATGAATAACAATTTAATGCTAAGCCTTTTGGCCGAGACGAGGGCAGCACCGATTGGAGTGAATGACGGACGCTTAAGCTATCGACTTACCCGCACTTTGCGCACCGTCTTGCGGCTATCGTTGCGTATGTTGACCGTGACATTGACATCCTCGCCGTGCGTGTACCAGCCCTTGTCCAGACTGGCCCTTAAGCCGACGCGTCCATCGTGCAGCAGAAACGGCTTGTCTACGGCGCCCTGGGGCCCGCCGCAAGGTCCAACGCTGATGCCACCGATGCCGCCGGTGACGCCGGCATTGCTATGGGGTGGTAGCATTTCGGAGCCGGTGTTATCGCAGTGCTGCCAAGGGAACAATCAGATCCAGTTTACAAATTCCACAAAGCAAATCATTTTTTTAAAAAACCTCCGTGTGTGTTGGGTTAATATTTGCATAATTGATTTGTTAAGCTCATGTGTGTGTGTGTGTGCGTGTGTGCGTGTTCTATTACAAATCAACCGTTAAGCTATTAATGCATGTGCCGCACAACAAAATCATTTGTTAGTGGATTAACGGGAAACAAATCGGGTTATGTTATTGTGGGGCCTGTTGCTCAATGGGGCAAAGTTAAGCTGCTGGCCAGCTGGATTATGAAGCCACCTGCCTTTCGGTCAGCGATGCAAACAAATTAATTGCACAGATCAAAGCAATGCGCGCCGTTTGAGGTCGCAAATATAATTATATCAAAATTAATTGACCTCTCCAACAGCCGATTAGTGCACTTCTGGCGCCTTTGAAAATAAATTACATTTTGCTAGCGATTTGCAGTGCCATAAAGAGCGCATTTTCATTTCACCTGTTGGGCTAATTAATTAGCAGGTGCTGCGTAAAGAATTCATTAGCTTGCAGTCATTGCGTCTGTGGTCTGTGGTCTGTGGTCAAATAACTTAAAGTATATAATTGCAAATTTGATTAGCTAAATAATCAACAAGCGAGTCGAATGCAGTCGACTGCTTAATACTTGCTTAGCAACAATTAGCCACGCCCCAATGAACGAAGCAGCTAATTTATAAGAGGGGGGGGGGGCTAAATGATTAAGCTGCAAAGCTTGGCTATCCTTGCTCGACAAAACGAATATACTTTGTTCAACTGCCTGAATGAGTATGAACGTAAATGTTCCTGCTCTTTGGCTAGGAAATGCATTTGCCTATAATTTAGATCTAACTTTAGGTGCGTAATAATATTGCGGTAAGCGCACTTACCTCCTGGAAGGACTTGCTGTAGCAATGGAATGGGTCGTTGGGGCACCGCTCGATTTCGCTTTTGCTGCGACCAAAGCGTCCGCTGAACCTAAAAGACTTGGGCGAGAGGCGCAGCTTGGGAAACGATTCGCCGCGCTCCGACTTGGACTTGCTTTTGGCACCTGTGCCTCCTCCTCCGGCGGCTCCTGCTGCTCCGCCGCCTGCACTGCTAGTGCTGGGTGTTTGCTCGTGGCCGTCGCTGTTAGTCAAAGGGGGCGTGGCACTGGCCGGCGGCGATTGGGTCGAAGCGTTGGAATGCTGGCCGGCAAAGGCGGCAAAGTTCTCGGGCGCAGTATGATGGTGAAAGACGTCGGTGCGATAGATGACCCGCACGCCCATCTTGACGGAGGCCCGCCGATGGAACTTTTCATCCGTCTTGTCGGCTGTAACAAAAAGCAGGAGTGGGGAACGGGACCGTAGGGCCCAATTAGGTGGCTGATGCACAGAAAGAGGGAGCGCGAAAGACAGAGAGAGAGAGAGAAAGAGAGATAGATAGAACTGCTGCCGTTGCTCGCTAAGCTCATAAGAAGCGCAGCTGCAATCGGTCATCATTAATCGTTAAATATTAATCGTTAATCGGTAATTGTGAATTTTGATGAAATTTTGCGGTTGGGTCGGCGTCCGTCAGCGTCCGAAAGCGAATAAAAGGCCAAATGGGGTTGAATGCGCGCATTGCCAATGCAGCCAACGCTGCCAATGCTTGCTGTGAGCTTCTGCTGCAGGCGGTTGGCCGCTCCGAAACCTTTTTCTTATGTTGCAACTGTCAAGCACTATTAGAACATGCTGTCGAAGCTAGCTTATTCAGCCTAGCCCAACAGCACGTTGAGGTCCGAAAGTTTTGCCGAAAATCGAGAGAGCTGCCTGTTTGGGCCATCGAATGCTGTCAAATGCAATTTTGCCGTCAATTTTGACAATTCCATCAATTGAAAAGATAATCTCACATGAACTTTGACAGGAACATAAGAAAATGGGACTCAAGCGGCACACAAAAAACATTTAAAGTTAAACACAATGAATTGGGATAGATGTAGCAAGAAAGCGGATGCGAAACATAAAGAGAGAGAAAGAGCAAGAGTGCGAGAGAGAGAGAAGGACACGGGCAAAGAAAGAGTAAGAGAGAGAGAGAGAAGGAGAGGAACGTGGATGTTGGAAGTGAGAGAGATAGAAAGACAGGTAGGCAAGGATAGAGCAGAAGACAAACATAGAGTGAGTGAGAGAGAGAGAGAGAGAGATAGAGTAAGTTAGAGACGTAAAGGAAAGTGATAAAAATAGCGAAAGTTGGAAAACATGAATATGAATAAGTGAAAGCTTAAAGACATGAAGCGACAACAATGAAAAGGCAAACGACATTCAGTCGGCTTTACCATTAAGCTTATATTTATATATATTTATAAAGACACTGACATACACTCGCATACACACACTTTCTCGCACACACATACACACACATACACAAACAGAGACAGCAAGACAGCAACTGAACTGAAGGTGAACTGAAACGAAGTGGAGACACATCAATACGTTGATACTAAAATAGGAAAAACATAGAGGACAATACAAGTTATTACACGACAACTGAATGTTTGGACAGGCATCGGAGGACACTGTGGCAAAGGGACGAATCGTGCCGCTTACCTCGCACCGAGTTGCACAGACAGCAGCAGCGAAGGCTGCGCCACATGCGTGCCGTATATCTGGTCAGAAAATTGGTTCTGTGAATGTGTCTCTGCCTGTGCCTCCGCATCTGCCTTAACGTCATGCCCTGTGCTGCAGAGGGATCGACTCAAAGAACCTTACGGCGCTTGCGAACTGGGTATGATAAGTGCGATAAGTGCGATAAGCATAAGCAAGACATTCACAACAAACAGCGCCGCACAATAAATCAGAAAACGAAATGAATCAAAGATCACAAATCACAAACAAAACTCAAAAATCTATAATCGAAAATCAATAATCGAAAATTGTTAATCATTAATCGTTAATCGTTAATCGTTTATCGTTAATCAAAGCACAACACAACATATAACAAAGGAATACGTTTTGTTTTTGGTTTTGGTTTTGTTTTGTTTTTTTTTTTTTTAATGTTAGAATTGATAAGCATATTTGTCCATATGAGTCAGTGATGCCCCATAGACCTCAGTAATTCAGTAATCAAATTGCACACTGAAAAAAAAGCATGATTAACTTTGGCGGTGAGTCGTTTGTTCTTCTTAAATTGAAAGCTGCAAACCTGCTGTATATGAATATTATATAAAAAAAGTACCCAATGCAAAGAATCTTGTCGGAAGTAACAAATGAAAATGTACAAAGCACAGGAAACAGCTGTTGGCGATGGTCGCTTTCTAGATGGGAATGGAATGGGATACGAATCTTATGGCCCGAGGATATCATAGATCATGTATGATATATGTAGCTAGTGCAATGCTTCAATGGGAACGGCAAGGAATTAAATGAATCAAAATTTCTTTTTGCTATACAAAAAATATTCGGCCAATGAGTGTAAGGAAAATGAATATGAGTTCTAAAAAGGGATTCTAGGATGACTTTTGAAACTCAGGATCAATGGAAACAATGTGTTGTGACTCAGTTATGGAAGAAACAACAGGCTATGGCATGAATCTGAATATAATGTGACGCAATATTTCATTATCCGATTCCCTTTGATAATTAAACATTGGTGTATGCCTGCACAGGGCCACGTTCAAGGACATGGGCCTGTTTCATGCAAAGCCGATGCGAAGATGCGAAGAGGAGGATGAAGGAGATGCGAAGTGTTCAACTGCATTTAAAACTCGAATCCGAACCGTGTTGAGACCAGCTGAAAGTGATTCGCAACAATTGGTTGATTTTACCATTTCAACAGGGCTCAAACCGGCTCAAGAACCGGTTCGCTGTGCGTTTAACTTGCAATCACCAACAAAAAAAAAAAAAAAAAAAAAAAAAAAACCAGCAATTCTTAGGTAGATGATCCATAACGAGGGCAGTCCTCATACTTGGGCCGCATAATTAAAGCAAAACAATGGAGCAAACAGCGATTTGTGTGGGCCACTAGGCTGGCGGACCGGCTCCTGTCGGGGTTCACCTTTGTGCCACTTTGTTACTGCCGACAGCCGCTTGGGGGCTGCGGCGCTGGCTGACTAGCAGCTGGTCCGTTTCCAGTGGAGCGGCCGCAGGCGGCCGTTAAGCGCACTTCTTTTCATACTTGAGCACACGCACAGGATGTGCCGCACCGCGGGCAACTGGTCGACGAGCGAGGGGATTTGTTATTAAACAGAATATGCCATATCCATTGTTATTCCGAATGATATTAACTGTTAACAGGCAACATAGTGTTTGCGAATATATACATATATACTTAAAAATACTAAGACCCGATTGTATTGTACGGAATAAAACAATAAGTTATTAAAAAGCATGCAGTTTTCTCATTAGCTCATTTCCAATTGAAAGCCCACAGAGCTTTGAACGTTTCTGGTCTATGAACTTGCGGTCCGGTAGGGTCCGTCCTTCGGGCGATTCCGGGCTGTACTACGCAGGTATTCATTTCAATTCGGTTACCTTGCGAGTGCCGAAAGACAATTGAAGGAATGAGGCAAGGCGGGAAAGCATCCAAGGATAGGGTCCGACAGCAATTGAAAAAAATAAAAACCAAAAAACAAAAAAGAAACAGAAAAAAATTAAAGAACTCAAAGGAAATAGAAAACAGGCAGACGGCAGGCATTGGGAGCAGCAGGAATCGCAAAACGGAATTGGAATTCGAATGGCCGTTGGTCGCAGGTAAAACAGCCGCGCATTGCTTAACAGGCATGCATTTATATTAAATATTGATTCTATTCGCATACCCTGTAGAGGGGCATTGGCTGGAAGGTCCGTGTCGCTTGAAGGCTCTGCCATCGTTGGATGCAGTTGCTGCTCTTTGTAGGGTATCGGCTGGTCAAGCTCGATCGAGAGCAGCTCCCACAGTGCAAACTGAGCGCAACTTAAAGGCAACCCAAAATAAAATTGAATCAAAATCAATCAAAAATGAAAAAGAAGACGAAGACGAGGTGAGAGCAAATCTCTCACATCAACTTAGCTGACGTCAATAGCAGCAGCAGGCGCAGCGAAAAGTATTGGGATCTGTTCTTGTTATCGTTTTGTTTTTTGGCAAAGGCGTTAGTGGGGGCGTGGTCATCAATATAAATAGGCTGCAAATGTAATTCGATTGGGCATGCCTCGCCTATGTTGTTTCTTGCGGCCGAGAGGACGTACTCGTTGCCCGAGATACTCACGATTCGAATAGCGCTGGCAATGGCTTGATGATGTGTGATGAATGGAGGAAAGGTAATGTTTGCTGGTTAATTATAACTAAGCTCAATCGCGATCAGTTGTTCGACCTGTAAAGACGTGAATTCGAACAGCCTTCGCTTAAGCTCTACTGCTGCAGAGTTCTAAAAATAGAACTTTGCGGTGCATTCTTCAACGCAACAGCAACAAAAACCGCACACGCAGCGTTTTCTTATCGCTTGCTTCCGCGTAACTCAATTGCTTTAATTGCAATTTACGAAATTTCGTCGCTTGGCGCGAGTGCGCCTGCACTCAAAAGCACAATCCGCGATGACATCTAATGTCAATAACCTCGCTACAGCTGTAAAGGTAAATGCAGAAATGCAAGCCCAGCTTAACGTTGTGATGGCAAATAGGCAAGCCTCCATCATGCCAATAAACTCAAAAATAGATATCGCCTCCGTGCAAGGCATCACTAACAACAAAAACACGAAACGTAAACAGCCAAATTCACCAAAAACCATCAAGAAAAGGCTCATCTTCGACGAACCAAGCACCAGCAATGCAGCATTAATATCAGAAAATCGATTTTCACTGCTCGTAGAAGAAGATGAAGACTACAGCGAATCACCTGTAGCTCCAGAAGCCCCAGTATTGACCGACCAGCAAACTACACCGAAACCTCGTCCGCCCCCCATATGGTGTCCAAACATCAAGTCTGTGGCCCTACTTCAACAGATAATAGATAAAGTAATTGATGCTAAATCATACGTAATTAAGCCAAAGAAGAATAACATAGGTGTATTAACCCAATGCAGTGAGGACTATCGCAGAGTTATAGACCACTTTACTAAGCTGGAATTGGAGTTCCACTGCTACCAGCTTAAGGAGGACAAACCATATAGAGTCGTGTTCAAAGGGCTTCACTCCAGCACTGATACAACACTAATTAAAAAGGAATTGGAAACCAAAGGCCACACAATTACAAATGTGCACAACCCACTGAGCCGTATGGACAAAACACCGCTAAATATATTTTTTGTTGACGTGGCTCAGGCCCCCAACAACAAAGAAATTTTGGACATTCGAGTTGTCTGCAGGCAACGCTGCACAGTGGAACTGCCAAGAAGATACAACGACCTGACACAATGCCATCGCTGTCAAGAATTTGGACACACACAACGCTACTGCCACAAAGCTCCCAGATGTGTGCGTTGCGCCGGGAAACACGCATCCAAAGACTGCACCCGCGAAAAGGACCAGGCACCAACTTGTGTGCACTGTGAGTTACAGCACCCAGCCAACTATAAGGGCTGCCAAGTATACAAGCGGTTGCGCAAATTGCAATCCCCAGCACAAAAAAGGAGTCCCACACAAACACCGTCTACGGGTCCGAGTACTGCTTCCGAAATTACAAGGCCCCGGAGCATTACCCAAGCCACGAGCTTTGCAACGCCTATTAGTGGTGTTTCTTACGCACAGGCCGCTAGAGGTGGACCGTCAAATAAGAATACCACAAGTGACACTTTGTTCACTGAAATGCTTCAGCAACAACAACGTCAGTTTGACGCAATTAATGCCGAGCTCAAAGCGATGCGAGAAGTACAATCCCAACAAGCAACCATGCTAAACAGTTTAATGGCCATCATAACCAAGCTTGCCTACAAATAATGGCTTTACGTGTGGGTATCTGGAACGCCAATGGCCTGAGAAACAAGACTCAGGAACTGGCTGCGTTTCTCTCACAAGAAAACATAGATATAATGTTAATAACAGAAACTCATGAGTGCCCCACTACACAAATTTTCGGATACGAACACTATCAGGCTCATGGTGAAGGAGCAAACTGCTTTGGTGGATCCTCAATCCTCATACGAGCAACAATACCGCATACACCTTTACTGCCAATTTGCAACGCAACAATGCAGGTCTCAGCCATCACCCTGCCTACGTCTATTGGAGCGATCGAAGTTGCGTCAATTTATCTTCCGCCAAACACTGGTCTGTGTGATCATCACATGGAACAGGTTCTAGGCCAAAGGTTGAATAAGACCCTCATCGGCGGCGACTGGAATGGATGGCACCCATTTTGGGGAAGCAATAGTGCGAATCGTCGCGGAGAAGTCATATTTGAGGCGATTCAAAACTTACAATTCAGCATATTGGCGACTGGAGCCCCCACCCGTTACCCAATTAATGGACACAGGCCCTCGGCAATCGACTTCGCTGTCTACAAAGGCATCTGTGACCGGCAATTGACCATTGAAGAATCCTTGGACCTATCCTCTGACCACCTGCCACTAATAGTCACAATCCACGCGCAGCCACAGCCCTTGCCCATTAGGAAACAACTACTGCCAGCAGGATCAGATTTAGGAGTCTTTAGGCGCGAGCTCCATTACTCTTTGCACATAGAAATGGAACTTAACACTCCTGAAGACGTGGACTACGCAGCAAACAAACTGCAGGAAGAAATAGTCAAAGCTGCGCACCAAGCCGCCCCACCATCTTGCCAAACAAGACAACAGTCTCCGTACAACATCCCCCTCACCTTGGAGGCCCAACACCTACTAATACACAAAAGATGGGCCAGGAGACGCTGGTTAAGATTACGCACGCCTGATGCCAAATCCATGTACAACGAAGCCACGAGGCATCTTAAAGCTGCTCTCGCCCTGCTTCAAAAGAGGTGTATCAGCGATGCGCTGGTACGAGCTGAATCGCCCACTGACGCAGAGTTTCAATTATGGAAATTTACAAGAAAGCTCAAACGGCAGCCAATACGTCGTCATCCCATTCGGAGCATTTCTGGTTCCTGGCACATTGGAGACGAAGCTCAAGCTGAGGCTTTTGCAAACCACCTTCAAGACCAATTCACGCCGGTGATTACCGCAGAGGCCTCAGAAATCGAAGCAACAGAAGACATCGTTCTCTCGCCCCTCCCAGCTGAAGACCAGATAACTGGATGTACAAAAGAAGAGGTTCTTGAACACATCAGAAGAGTGAAGGCAAAAAAATCCCCTGGATATGATCTAATAAACGGCAGAGTCCTTAGAGCACTGCCTGACTCCACCATAGACTACATAACTATGGTGTACAACGCCATGCTCCGCATCCGGCACTTTCCAGCCTGCTGGAAGCGCGCCGTGATTGTGATGATTCCTAAGCCTGGCAAACCCGTGGGAGAAATTGAGTCGTACAGACCAATTAGCCTGTTGCCAGTACTCTCCAAAATATTCGAAAGAATATTTCTGGAACGAGTACTGACACATCTGGGACGCCAGGAGGCCATTCCAAACCATCAGTTTGGCTTCAGGAGACAGCATGGAACACCGGAACAGGTTCACAGAGTTGTGCACCATATCCTTGGAGCCTTTGAAGAAAAGATGTACTGCTCTGCCGTCTTTTTAGACATCAAACAGGCGTTTGATCGAGTTTGGCACCTGGGACTGCTGCAGAAAGTGAGGACCACCCTTCCAGCCCCATTTTTCGCGTTGCTATCCTCATACCTTATTGGAAGAACCTTCCAAGTGTCAAGGGGGCAAGCAGTATCCTTGACTAGACCAATTATGGCTGGAGTACCACAGGGCAGTGTTCTAGGCCCAACACTTTATACTTTATTCACAGGAGATATGCCAACTCCCGAGCCAAATATAGGAAGTACAGATGCAGTACTCATAGCGACCTATGCAGATGACACCGCCATCTTATCACGTCACGTATCTGCGCAAGAAGCTTCAGACTCACTACAAAAATATCTGGACTCTTTCGGACGCTGGGCAAAACGGTGGTGTATCACCATTAATGCACAAAAGTCTGTACATACTACCTTCGCCACTAGAAGAGGAGATTGCCCAAGCGTTGCATTGGGGCCCACTATTCCCAAAGCCTCAAAAGTAAAGTACCTTGGTATCACTCTTGACACTCTTGACAGAAGGCTGACTTTTAAAGCGCACATAAGTCAAGTAACCTCAAAATGCAAAAGCAAGCTAAAAACCCTCGACTGGATGCTGAGAGCTTCAAGCAAGTTGTCTTACAGCAGCAAGGCCGCCATCTACAAGGCAATAGTTGTCCCAACCTTCGTATATGGTATCTCTCTATGGGGCTCCTCGGCGAAGACTACAAGGAACAAAATTCAGACCCTGCAGAATAAAGCACTACGCAGATGGACTGGAGCCAGCTGGTTTGTAAGAAACTCAGTCTTACATAGGGATTTAGCAATTCCCACAGTTGCTGAACTCATTGGGCGACACAGTTCAAGATACGCGGACAGACTTGCAGCGCATCCTAACCATCTCGCAAGCAACCTGGCTATAAACAACAATAGGCGAAGACTGAAGAGATTGCATCCTCTAGACAATATTAGAACTAATTAAGATAGTAGCTACAAGTGCAGAATAATTGGCATATCTGCCCTCCCATTAGTTAAGGTTTAGAGCTAAATGCGCTATAGAGTCTAAGACAATAAGCTGCAACAAAATAAAGAAATAAAAAAAAAAAAAAAAAAAAAAAAAAAAAAAAAAAAAAAACTAAGCTTAATTAGTCAACAAACCTTTAGATGTGTCTTGCGTTGATGTGAGCTACATGATGTGTTGATCTTAAGCGTAAAGCAACTAAAGGCTATAAAGATACAACTTAAAATATTGCCTAAGCATTGCCCAGGGTATTTCCAAGTTTGTGATGCGGAGTTATTCAATGGCATTTCCTACAGTGTTTCTTCGTGTGTCTTCGCTTGCAGACACCTCCACTGCTTTCATCCATATTTGACTTACCTTCGAGAGAGCACTAGATCCGATAGCAGAAACTTTTTTGCATCCCAAAAAGGTTTCCAAGATTTTATTGCTTTTGCTAATCAAAAGCTCCACTACTTTTTACTGTCCCAATGACAGTAGCTGAAAGGGACTCGGAATTGAGCTTTGGCCAATTTGAGTTCCGCTTTCAGCTAGTGTCATTTATCAGATGATTTAGCTCCTACTACGCGCCCCATTGACATACTTCTTCTCTGACTGCTTTGCTCTAGCCTGATGCTATACATCACCTTCAAGGCTCCTGTTCCGATGTCCTCGGAGCAATTGGCTATATGTACAGAAGTCCATAGCGAAAGATATAGCAAAAAACTTACCAATGAAGCAGCGTACATCGTAGCTGGTGCCAATGGGGGCTCCGTAGTAACGTTTAGCCGGCACTAGCTGGACACTGGGCGGTGCCTGGGCGGTCAGCGACAAGGTAAATGGATGTGCCCCATCGCCCAGTCGCTTCAATAAAGCCTCCTGCAACGAGAGTAATCGGGTCAGACCACAGCAAACTGCAGTGCCAAATCTGAGAATTGGCAATTTAATTGATTTTCTTGGAAGACAGAGAGAGAGAGAGAGACGGGACAGAGACAGACCGTTTAGGTCAAGGCAAGCTGAGAAGGAGATGCCGAATTCTATGTCAAACTCTGGCTTAGAGAACAAGTTGAAGGAGGAAGGGTCTGCCCTTGGCTGTTATTTGGGTCAGGGCAATATAAAACGACAGTCAGACTTACTTATTAAATGCTTATCTAGGGATATCAAGGCTTAGCTAAAGGAGTCAGCCAGACTTCATTAAGGAAGAGAGACTGAATACATTATAGAGCAAAGTCCGGACTTAGACGTCCGACCTCATCACTTAGGTACTTTTCAGCCATGTCTAACAGATGTACAGTATCTATGTGTGTGTGTGAGTGTATTATTGAAGGTTATATTTAGTTTTTAATTATGCACTTCGACCTTTTGATTAGGGGAGCGGGCAATTTGAATTGCGGGCTTTGTTTTGGCTTTGATAACAATGCTTTTTGTTAAATCTTCTGCTGTTTTTGGCATTTCATTTGCATTTGATTATGTATACGGTATAATGCGATGCCTCTGGCCCTCACTCTGCTCCTGGCGCTGGTCCTGGCCATGATCCTGGCGCTGGTTGTGCCCTTGGATTTATACCTAAATATCCTACCCCCAGCGCGCGTTTCTCTGTATCGTGTTGCCGAGCTGTGTGGGCTAATGGGCAACAGCCGCAGCCGCAGCCACAGCCGCAGCCACAGCCGCAGCCGCAGCCACAGCCACAGCCACAGCCACAGCCACAGCCACAGGGGCAGGCCATCACAGCAACCAGCACCACTACTCTTCTCTGCTTTGGCATTGACTTTGCCTCGAACTGTGCACGGCATTTTAATGGAAAGTATTTAAAGACAATTCCCTAGCACAAATTGTTTGGCTCTGCAAGCGTTTTGTTCTTCTTTCAGCGCCATTTGTGGCTGAAACGGCAAGAGGCCAGAGAGTAGGTGTGGCAAAGCGGTTCTTGTGGAATGCGAAGGGAACACCAAGCATGTCTTCCTAGGCAGCCATTGTCAGGGAAATTCCCTTAGGGCTGCAAAGATGTAGCTGCTGGCTTAGCACTGAGGCAACAAATTTAACTGTCGCGCTAATAAGTAGCTTGTTCGCATACAAACATGTTGATATTTGCGAACAAATCTCTGCTTGGGCAAGCCAAATCTAGTTAGCTATTACCGCAAATAACTGTGTTGCTTATGTAACACTGATACTCCCACTGAGTCGAGCGGCAGACGAACTAAGCTGGAGGAAGCAGAAATATTATTGAATTTTAATGAAATTGGAATGAAATTTGAATGCATTTTGGCTTCTCGTCTATCGATCTATCAATCGACATCTGTTTCTTAACAAATCTTGCAATGATTCATCAATGTCTCAGGCACATCATATCTTTCAGCTATCGATGTCGCAGCTCCCTTGCCGTTTAGCCTTTACTTTGCCTATCTTCATTGATTTGAAATCCTTTCGAATTGTCTATCGACTAAGCTCTAGCCTCTTCTTCAAGTTGCTTTATCTTCTTTGATTTGAAAGCCTTTAGAAGTCTATTGACTAAGCTGTTGCTTCTTCTCATAGCCTTTCAGTACTTTCTATGCCAGCTTTTATTTTCTACAACATTTTCAAACACATTAAAATGTCTGCAGATCTGTTCTCGATTGTCAGCTTAGCTCAGACCGTTAAGATCAATTTATCAACATATTTATCAGGAATTAATTGGAAAAAAAACCCCTCTTTAATCTGGCTGTCTGCAGACGCAAACAATTTTCCATTCGACATCTTCGACATTTCGCTTTGCGCTCGGCCTTCTTAGCCGCGTTATTTTTGAAATACTTGGCCAATGGTGCGGGATACTCTGCTGCCAGGAGCAACTTATTAAAGTCAAATTTATTTAATTATGCATGTTTGTGTTGCTGTTTTAAGCGCCCATCAGTGGCTGTGGCAGTGGCAGTGGCAGTGTCTATGTGGCCAACAGTAAATAACTTACTAAATGTATTATGCAAATCGGTCAAGACAAGCGAGAAAAATTGAAGTTGAAAACTTAGGCCTGCAAACTGTAAACTGATTGCCTAACCGAATTTTGGTGAGTTTGGCTGTCAAAAATATGATGGCTAAATAAATGATTGCATGTCAAATTTAATAAAAGGGAAAGTTCAAATTGAAGCTTGCTTCAGGGTTACCATTCTGTCTCTCCCTCTGGCTCCCCTTTCGAGCTGCTACACAAAAGCGCGCTGGCGAAAAACAATGCGAAAGGGAATCGCAAACATTTGTACAGCTTTTAGTTAAATGAAATTGATTTTCAATTGGTTTAAGTGCAGTAAACTGCCGCCTTTAAACATATGACGAACACGTGGCACAAGTGGCAAGCTAGCATTCGGCGAGGCACAGGACAGCGTCAGGAGCTCCTCACCTAAAATGTCAACAAAACAGCTACAACAGCAATGACTGCCTCCGACTTCCTGCCGCTCCCTCTCTCCCTCTCTCCCTCTTTGTTTACCATCAAACCGGAAGGAGTCTAGCATACTTTGTTGCGCGAGCTTTAAATCTGAGCTAAGTAAAGAACAAAACACCAGAGCACCATCAATTTCAAAGCGCTTGCAATTATTTCCAAATACAGCTACAATGAATACATAACAAGCGTCGCTCTAGCAAAAGTGTGAGACTAGCACATACCCTGGAAATCAGCCTAGCACATATTTGAGTTCCTTTGCATATAAACAAATCAAGGCTTAAACGATTGCCATGGGATTTCAATTTATGTTTATATATATAATTGAAAAATTTATATATATATATCCGGCCTTAAGTTTCACTGTCCCTCTCTCCTGGCTTTTGCGCTCTTTGCTGCAGTACAATTTGCTTGCTTTGCTGCTATACAAAGGTGCTAAAAGCAAATGAGTTTTTTTCCAATTTATTTGCCACTGAGGCAGCTGCTGCATGTTGTTGTTATTGTTGTTGCAGTTAGACAGTTTCTTGAGCTAGTAGCTGCAGAAAGTTAAGCCAAAAAAAGAAAAAATAAATAAAATTGCGCTCGTTCGCCGAGTTTGCCTATCAGTTTTAATAGCGCTAGAAACTTCGCAGCCAAGCTGCACGCAGCCCGCCTGCTGCCTGCTGCCTGCTGCCTGCTGCCTACTTTGAAAAGTGCTCGACTGGTTGGCCAAGTGCTCGTCTCGCACTCGTCGCCTCTAAAGTGTCTGCTCAACAACACACAAACTGACACTTCAGCCGGTCAATGAGGGAATAGGGCTGTGGTAGAAGTCAGAAGGCGGGCCGAGGGGGAAACTGTGCCGCACTGCATAATTTCAATTACAATGATTGCAACGTTGACACGCTGCTTGCAACTTACCTGAAGTGGACTGAGCGTCTCCGCCGAGGGCTCCTCGAGGCGTGGCCAAATCTGATGCAGCGACATAATGGCCTCGTTGCAGAAGCGCAGCCCCATCACCTCCTCGTCCTCGCGCCCATAGCTGCAAAGAAAAAGGGCCGCGCAATTATTTATGAATTATGTGCAGCTGGACATACAGCGGCAGGCTCCACGAATTCGATTTCAAGCCGTCCTGGCGATGGGAACGGGGCTCAGGGCGTGTTGGGGGGTCTACCTTACCGAAATGTCAGAGTTAGTTGAGCATAAACGCGATATCCTTGAATGGCTTTCGGGTCGACATAGACTATACCACGCAGCACCGATGGATTGTTGCCACTGAGTACTATCTCACGGGTCGGCAAATAAAGGGTGATCACGCAGTTCGGCGACGTCTTCTTGTACACGCGCTGGGTCCCAAAGTCATCCTTGTGTATCCTGTAAAAGGTGATGCGAAATGCAAGTCGTCCTGTTAGCAATGCCTTCAATTACACGCGCAATTTCAGGTGCTGCGCAACAAAATCTTGTTGGTAAAGTAGTGTGGCTGTACTTAAGAGACGCACTTGAGAGTGCCAACTTTATGGCCTTCATCTGCCTAGGCGGCCAAATGATGTTTCACTTAACTAGAGCCAGTGAGAGCCACAGCCGTTGGCCGGGTCGTCCGACTTACACGTGGATCTGCATGAGTATACCCGGTTAGTGTTGTCTGCCGCTTGCAACTGCCTCTATACTTACGGCTAACCGGCTCAACTTGCCACACATGCCCCAGATTCCAAAGGGCCTTCGATCTGTGCTTATATTAATAGTGCTATTCTGAACTAAGAATAATAATCATTGCTTGGCTCTCGTATCCATTCCTAACTCTGCCGGCTGCAGCACACTAATCCATTCAATCTTGCAGTGTTGTAAAATGCCCGTGGATCAGGTCGCAGTATTCTTGCATAAAACTAGTGTGGCGTCTGAGCTTGACAACTAATAATTCAATGCTTAATTAGCTGCGATTCAAGCGTGCGCAGGGCATGCGCCATTGCTACCCTGGCCAGAGCTGCGAGCAGGTGTGTGTGTGTGTGTGTGTGTAGGCGGGTGAGTCTAAAAATAGTTCTGCCTGGACAGCTGCGGAGCATTGGTATGCGTGCAACATTTTGTGGCAGCTCCATTGTTTTGCACACCCGCTAATAAACAAACATGCTAATTCAAAATTGCTGTCAGTTGTTGTTGACGCTGTTGCGCGCATCAAAAGATGTGGTAAACAATTTATTGGACTGCTCTAATCTGCTCTGCAGGCTCCGCGAAACTTTCAACAGCCTCTGACACCTGACAACTAACTCGCCTGCAGCTGGACAGCTGCAAATGCATTTCGCATGCAGCAACTTCAATTAGAATAACCTTAAACACGGCCTGCCATAGTCAGGATGAACTCATTTCGCTGGCAACTGCACGCGTTTTAATTTAATTGTTTGGGCTTATACTTGGAATAGATTCATGTTGAGAGAATATATATTGGGCTGAGCCCATGATACAATAGAGGAAAGCAAGATATCAGCTCGATTAGATATAGAAAATATAGTCCATAAAATAATTATGATATAGATAGAGACATAGTTATAGACGTGTTATAGTTAGATATCATTATACATATGCTAATTGTTATAGATAAGGATGTAGCACAGATATGTAGTTTTATGTATATATATATGAATGTGCAGATGTAGGCTTAGTTGGCCAAATGTTGGCTCTTGTGGCTGTGTTCATAAAAATAGTAGTGCTGCACTAGACAAGGATTGGCTTGCGGTCCAAGAGGCCGACGTCGTGCTATGGACAGCCTCAACTTTTGTGGCAAACTCATCGGCCAGAGCAGAGCTGTGGCAAGTAGTTGAGTGGGCGTGACCATGCAGCTGACAAGTGGTAATAAAAAATCTAACATTACAAGTTAAACTAATGGTAAAGAGCTGTTGCTTTCACTACTATTTTTATGAACAACGAAATTTTTAATTAATTTAAATATTTTATTTTAGCTGAAACAAAAAAACTTTTAAATGAATTATGTCAAAAGATGAAAGATGTTGAGCAACACTTAGGCAGGCAAAGTCAATTGATAATATGCGACACGACCAGAGTTAGAGACACTGAATACAAATAAGCTCAGCTGCGCAGCTGGACTCATCAATAATGTGTGCCTAAAACATAACATAGTTTGCAAACAAAAGTCAATCTCTGCACGTGCCAAAGGCACTTTGACACGCAAAAGTTAGCTAACTTGATTTGGCCGGCACTTAAAAGCGATGGCAACTGCCTTTGCACTCTCAAACTATATTTTTGATAAGTATTTGTTGATTTTCGTTGATCAAATTTGAAAGCGCTGTCCGTACAGGCAGGCCATATGCTAATATAATTCAATAATAATATAAGGCCACCTGCTATGCGTTGCATATTGCGAGAGAACGTGTCAGCAGGTGGCAGGCAGGCATCAGGCATCAGGCATCAGGCATCATCAGGCCCCCGCAATGCATTAATATTGGATACAAAGCTGGCCTTTGACAAGAACAATTAGTCAACTATGTGGCAAGCACTCAGCATGCGTGCAACAAGGTACTTTGTGGCAAGCGACTCTTCACATTTTCAGGGCTCAGCAGAACATTGAAAAATACAGTTGCCCTTTCAGCGCTTGATTGCGTATTATTCATATGCGAATGTCGCCCGTCTGACAGAGTATTTACATATGTACGCATGTGTGAGGTACGCTCGATTACAAAGTGAGCCGAGGAATATATTACAATTTCATCAGATATTTTTTGACGTTATTGACTTACTGGCAGACGTTAATATCTGATCCAAAAGACAAAAAGGAACCAAACGCAACTTGCATTTACCCGCACGCCGGTGAGCAGCTGTAATTAAAAGCTACGTCGACAGCAGTCGGCGTCCTAGTGCCAGCCGAGGCCACGACCCTTCGCAAGCGACACAAATGAAATATATAAGAATACATATTTCTATTGAAATTTACGCATGTATTTTATCGGATCTGCATTTTGTTTCTGCTTTCAATAGACGCCATTCGGCTAACATTTGTCCTTTTGGGTCTGTCGCTGTTTTTAATAAATGCTTTTCGGCTACTATTTACTTTTGTGTGCACAAAGAGTGATTCAATCGCTTTTATTGCATTTGCATTCACTCATTATTAATCTGCATTTTCCCTCGAAATTGCATTTCAATCGGCATTTTTTATATATATTTGCTTCGCTTATACCATTGGGCGCTGCAGTCGTTTTTTTGGTTAGAAATTGCGATTATTCGGTGGTGTAGTTAGTGACTGAAAGAACGGCATTCATTCATTTAATTACCACTAAGTATTGCAGCTCATTAGCCAGTCAGCCAACAATTGGCCCTAACTCCATTGCACTGCATTGAAAGGCAGATTATTTGTGGTCTATTTAAAGAGTTCCACTGCATGAAGTCAAATCCTATTTAATTATTATTAAATACAAATCACATTTTGTGAATACGTAAATGAAATAAATACTTTCAAAAATATTGAATTTCACATTTAAGTAAATTTTTATTAAAAATACATTTGAATTTGCAATATGTTTATCTTTGCGCATTTAGTTGGCTTCATGGACTTGAAATGAATATCAATTACTGCATCAAAACGTACGGAAGCTCTGTAATTGTGAATTAATGCTTTTTACATAAATTTACGGAGCCAAAGGTGAGCATAGCTATGATATATGATAAGTATCCATATAAAAGCAAGGCAAATCAAAGCAAAAGCAGTTGCCATAGCACAGGGCAAGGCTCAAAATGCTGCTGCTGCTGCTGCTGCTGCTGCAGCTGTTTATGAATTCTATTGCAAAGTTGTACACTTCAATTTTATCCGATTGATATCTGCAAATGACAGATGGTTTGAGCCGTTATGCCGCCACAGACAATGGGCTGCCTTCTCGCTGCCTTTCCTGGGACGGCTGGTTGAAACAAGTATTCAATCGCGTTTGAAGTTCCCTGCGTTTCGTTAAAGAGTTTTGCTTGATAATGGATACAAGCGCATCGGCTACTCAAATGCCAAGTCTCCTTCACGCACACAAAGGACCAAAGTACCCAAAATCATATTATACTATATCTATGTCTATGTCCTTAAATACCTACTGAACTGTACTTTCATTGAGGGTCTGTTGAAAATCACTTTTGCTGCAACTCAGGCAGCAACATTTACCTTAGCTTGCGCCGACAACTGTTCGTGCAACCAATTTTCAGGCACTGTAAAGCTGTTGCAAAATCGCTCACGCGTAACATTCTACTGCCAACAAATTGATGTATATATATATATATATATATATATAACATTTATCTATATATGCTGTATCCTGCACTTGCTGGGCAGCTTTCAATTAGAGTGCGCCTCACTAACAAGCCGTTAACTGATGGGCTCGTTGCCCGGCTCTCGACATGAAGCCCAAAACTAGCATTAGAGCTTTTCCTTTTTTTGTGTCGTGACTCTTAGTCGCCAGGGAAATAGTGTCAACAAGGCAAAGCACCCAAAACTCAACCGCTTAACCAGCTATCATCGTTCTAGCTCCAGCTCTAGCATGTTTATAACTTTCTACCTTGACGCTTTTGTTTGCATGCCACGACAGATGTCCAGCTGCCACAGGAGTCGCCCTGCTATCGTTGCCCTTTTGGCGCTGAGTGAAAATTTATTTTGCGGCCAGGTGGCAACGAGCGAGAAGCGACGAACATTGTCTAATTGGTATAAATTAAACAAACGCTGCCGTTCAACGAGGCGTTGCCCATTCGAGGTTTGCGGGGCGTATACGTAATGCGCCTTTTTTTAATAGCCATGTGGTCTGCGGTCAGTGGGCGACCTGCTGCCTAGTGCCTGATGTCTGCTGCCTGCTGCCTGCTACCTGCTACCTGCTACCTCCTGCCTGCTTAAGTGCACTGACATGCCTCACACTCTGCCATCTAACCCGAATCAAAATATGCGCCGTGCCAGGCAATCAGCAGGTGTTAGCCAATGTCCATAATTCAATTTGTATTTGCCGAATGGGCCGGGGGCAAATTAACAGATTATTGACCGTAAATCATGTTTGCCAGCAGCCACAAAGCTGGTCAGCCGATACGCGCTACCGTAATTATAGCTAATAGTGGCTCGAGTGCGTATTTGAGCTGAATTATAAATTATATTTAACCAACCATGGACCGAAAGTTATTCGAGCAGCTTAAATATTCGTGCTTGAATACAATGGCGTGCCGACAGGCTCCTTAGACTGAAAGCCAACTAGCAGCAAGTTTCCATGAATATCCGCTAAAGTCATGGGGTGCAAGTATTTACGGTCAAGAAAGAAAGGTTCGGCAGCAAGCGACTTAATACTTTAGACACTTTCGAGCCGGCTTAAGTATCATATTTAAGTATTCAGCATCCATGGTTGTGCGTAGCCTTC